GTGACTGTTCTGCGTTTACTAACAAATTTATCATATTCATTTCAGAGTGTTTTAAAGCAGACATCCAGCAAACATGTTTGCTGCATTATTCTCAGTGAACACAAAACTTTGATGCCAATATTTATATGTATACTTCAAACACTGCAATATAATCCTCTAGAATAGTGATATCTTCATGGTAAGATCATGCAAACTAAAAATGGCTCTTAAAGATAGCATCAGTTGAGCTGAAAATGTTCTTGCTTGCAACTTTGGCACTAAAAAACATGTTCAGGGATTTTTTTGCACTACATGAAACATGACACATAACCCTCAATTATCTTGGCAAAGTTTCCAACGAATCTGCGTCACACAAGCTCTTTGCGCAGTATGCTTGCCAAGAAGATTTCAAATTTTTTGCATAACACTCTTCACCCGTGTCTGAACCATGGCAAGATTTGGAAGAATTTACAACTGAAACCCTTGGCCCAGAGTAAGGATTGATTCAATGAACTGTATGATGAAAGTACATTTATAAGCCAGCATGTTTCAGCATGTGTACTTAGATTACTTTGGCTTACTTGAATTTGGAAAGATCTATTGTTCTAAAACTGTGAACATGTGAAATAATCCAGACTTGATGAGTAGAACAAGTAGAGAAATAACAAAAGTTGCTCAAATCTTTCATAGACACTGGCTACAGCTGTCAGTTACTGCTTTCAGACATGAAAATGCTTGAACTCTATTTTCAGGACATGTTTTGGGAGATTGCCTTTCATATAAAGAGTGCAGCAAGATCACCCAGGTCTGATACATTCACAAAATTTCCGTAACCTTCGGGTGAGGGGTGTTGACTGGATAGAACAAGAAGGAGGCAGGCCATGACATTTGAATTCCACAGTGCTTTCTTATCACAGCACATACAGAACAGTTTAGGAAAATGTCTGAACTATAGTGAATGTTTAAATCTAAAATGTTTGTGTACTAAAAGGAGCCGTGTGAGTGAATGTGTGTGATATCGTATTCAATTGGATTACACTGCACACACAGCTGATGTCATTTGAATATAATGAATGTTGAGAATTGATCATTAATGTAGTTGATAAGGAAATTGTTTTGATATATTCCCTCATAAAGATCCCCACTAAACTTTGCTACATTAGGCTTCTTTAAGCCTGAGGTTGTGACGTCTACTGACATGAAACTCTTACTAGTTTGTTACTCACCAAGTCATTAATTAACCTATCCTTAGTCATGGTAATTTTACCTTCTGTAACATGACCCAGGCTATTAAAACTGCCGGCATCATGCAATCTTTGCTGCACTGAGACGTGATCACATGTGGCAACGACAATAAAAGGTCAAACGTTACCCAAACGTTATTTAGGAGCCAGGAATTTCTGTACTGTGGCATAGTTTTCCATATGTCCCCAATCATATTACTCTGATAACAGTCTGGACTATATTTGACAGTGTTAGTATCTGAGGACCTGCCTGGCTACAAATAGCAACGTGGTGAACTATAGCTTACTATGCTAAACCTTAAAATAAACCTCTGCACTTTGATACAAGCTGAAACATAAACGGGATATAAGAGATTGGGTGATGAAAAAACCTGCATGACTGATGAATTTGCAGAATCAAGAGCTTGTACTGCATAAATGAATTGAGTTAGCAACACGGGTGTCTTTTGAATCAATTATTTCAGAAGTCTTATGCATGCATCTCTCAGATTCGTACTGTTTATGATACTGATCCATTTGTTATGGCCTGCAAAACACTTCACCTAGTCGGAGAAATTATATGCTAATGGACTTCACTGCTGTTTTTCATTAGTACTCCTGCTGCAATGAGCTATGATTGTATGACTGATGCAACAATTTCCAGAGAGTTATGACAAAGCAGTATTGCGCAGTACAGATCCATCTAAGCTATATCTGTGAGAATGAAATGGATTTAATGAGCTTCACCTCCACGGGACTACACAGCCACATGAGAGCTTAATTCACATCCTAGAGAACAAAAGCTGAAGAACAGATGCATGAGGTCAGGACACAGTGAATAGCATATTGTTCTGCTGTGTGAGCAACAGTAGTGAGGGATAGAAAAAGAGCTGCTGATGTCTGATTAGATTCAGGCTAATTAAACTGGCAGACTCTGGAAGAGCCTTCAAACAACTTTGTTTCGACAAGCTGCTCTCTGTAAAAGGAAACACGATTCGATTTGAAACTTACAGACCGAGATGAGAACTTAATTAGCTCTTACTTTGGTTTCATAAAAGAATGTAACTGTTAAAAAGCACCTGTATAATAAACAAACCATTAGATGGCAACAATTCATTTTTTTGACATAGCTTTTAAAATTAACTTTAGCTATCAAAGGGAGCTGAGGACAAAGATGATGAGATATGATAAAGAAACCTTTAGCTTTTGGTAAATTCAAACTAGGGCAGTTTCGAGAGAACACAGCTACAGGCTTGTACAATTACTTGTTATCTTATATCTCAGATCTCTTGTCATAGTCTGACTGTGAAACCATCTGTTGCTCATTTCCCAAAAATCACACCGTATGACCACTGTAATGTATAATAGATGTTTTATAGCTAAAGGACACAAGCACTCACTTTTCTGTCTGGAATGGACAAACAAACCACTGAACTGTCGCAGCAGGACATGTGTACATGTGCACTGGGCTTGGCTACATAAGACACACTTATACTTAAAGCCACAGAGCAAAACCTAAACAGGAAATGAAGAGAATTTCAGAGTGAGTTGTGTCACAGAGAGCCCAAGACAGAAACCAGACCATTTATGCATGGACTGCATTAATTTGAACATGGACCTTAAAATGTAGTATTATTACTAATAACTTCTTGTATGTCAATAAACAATCTACTAGTCTGGTTGCTTACAAACTCTTTAGAGTTGCACAATTTTACAACGCCTGATTTCCTTATCTCGTATGTCTACTTAAAATGGTGCTTCATTGATAAACCTGACCCAAAAGTACACACCCAGAAGTAACACCCAGTCATCTTGAATTTCACAGTTTTCACCCACTGAAAAAGGTAATGCAAAATAATGAGATAGTTAAAAATATCATATGTGAATCTTGACTTATTATATTATATAAAGCTAATAATGCTGAAATTAGTTAGTAGGTTGTCCTCTTTTTGTGGAGTCAAGTTTTACTCGTTGTTTCTGTTCACCTGCTTAGGGTCTACCGAGGGCAATTAGTTAAGTTTTGTTCAAAGCTTCTCTTCTCTTTGGTTAAGATTAATTATTTCCACGATTTACCCAAATATCTTTTTACTGTATTATGTGCTGTAATAAAAACTATTCCGATTTTAGCATTTCAGACAAAACATAAGCTGATGCCAATTCATCTGTGAAAGATAAGATGGATAGTTAATTGATCCTGAGAGAAATTCAGGAAGGCCAATATTGACTGATAAAATGACTTGACCAATGCATCGTTGCATGGTTTTACTTTGTACTGCAAGACCTGGGAATAGCTATCAACCATGAAACAGCTTGGGTGACTTCTGTTCCACAAAATGTCATGAAACATTACATGGCCTGCAATAAAGCAAGTTGGGAAATAAAGCATGATGTACAGTCATTATAAAATATTTATAACTTGGGCTGAGCTTAAATCAGTGACTTTCATTCAGATTTGTTATTTGGCAATATGTTTCACAAAATGTCATGTTAAACTCGGGAATGCTGCGGTTAGGGTCACTGAGGGAGGTGTTGTCACTTTGAGTAAACGTTAAAGTAATATAATCCTTTCTTTCTTTCAACATAATCACTCTTGTACTACACAAAAACAAACTTCATAAACAAATGCACCCACAACTCATAACAGCCTAAATCCTCCATTCCAAAACTAGACTACATTTGTTGTGCCAGTTTACAGCTACCTGCCATGAATAAGTTCATGACCTAAGAGCTCCCCCCCATCACCATGACGTGTCAACCAAGATAAACAAGTTGATTGCTCTGTCCTTGTGTCCTGCTCGATGTAAACACGCATCACTGATAACTATGGCCACTAACTCTGGACTTATGATGCATTTTCTAGCCCTTCCCCCCCCAACTGTGGCACGTAAAATGGCTTCCTAGAAAAAGCACATCAGCTGTCCTTTCATTTCAGCTGGAACAAACCTAGACACATAAGCTGTTGTGTTGCTCTTGTGCGCAATTACAGTGTTAAAGTAGATCAGGGATTTTAACTTGGGGGGGGGGGGGGCTGGAACTTGTGCTGAGTGATATTATAAAAGGAGAATAAGTGCGGAGATTGCAGCACAACAAAGTTTCTGATAGTCACTGTGAGCAAACTAAACACAGTGTTAGGCCTGAGATTAGCCTGTTGAAGGTAAAGCAGCTGCAAGGAAATAAAACCCATTTCACTTAGAACGATGCAGCTTTGATAGCTTAAATCCCCAAGCTGAGTTGTGTAAATGCAGAGTAAACAAAGTGAGCAGCTTCTGTTTATCATGTGTACGTGAAGCTCAATTCTATAGATGTATATGTTCTAAAATATATATAGAGAAGAAACACTAGCACTAGTTAGCAAACGTGTAAGTTTGGTCAACCGTGTCTGAGCAGAGCAAACAGACGTCATGAGTTAACATAACAGGAACAAAAACATGAGCACTATCACAGCGGTGTTTATCTTACCTTTCGACAGCAGAGCCCCTTAGTGTTAGCTAAATTTAAATCTACCGTCGATATCATTTCAATAATCGATAAAGTTTGTCGTCAGTGGAAGTTAAAAGTAGCTACGAGGAGCGGTCCGTGTAGCCGGAGGTTAACTACCTACGGGACTACCTGCATTAGCATCACGTTAGCTAGCCGACTCTGCTAGTGGCGTTTGGAGGCTAAGCTAGCGGCAGGCTAGCCCCGAAACCATTGATATTTTCCGCGGAGATTTAAACTAACAGTCCCCCCAGATGGAAGATTAATATCAGCCCCAGCAAGTCACCAAACAGCGTCTCCTGTGACACTCGGCATCCTTACCTCTTGTCTTCTTTTTAGGCCCAAACCATTCTAGCTGCTGGAAAAGCTCTTTTCTCTTTGTCTTTTCCACTTCCAGTCTCACACGCAAAATGGACTCAGCAAGACGCCGTAACAGCGAAAACCCTCAAACTGCATGGACGCTCTCCATGTTTGGCCTCAAAACGCGTCGGCTCGTCGAGCGGGGAACGGGAGGACACGATTTAGCGAGTCGTTCATTTTGTTGTTGCTGCACAGAAGTGTCTGGTAGGTGAGGCTACAGCTAAGTTCGGTCGCCAGCAGGTACCACAGACAGGACTGGATGCATGGATGGCAGCGAGCGGCGCCGCCTTCACTGCTGTCGGAAATATTACAACCAGCCACCTCCAGTAGTAAACATGACAGGGAAGTTAATGTGTCCTCAACGTGTCTTTATTTGGATAAAAAAAAACAAAAAAGAACACCACCGATTTATCATCTGAAATAACATGGGCTTTGTGGTGTTTTATTCAACTTTAAAATACATTTTTGATAAACACATTCACAAATTATTGATAAGAAACTCGAGTCAAGTCGAATGAACCATGTGACAGCACGTCCATGTGTCCCATATATAGACTGTTAATCAAGCCATGTACTCGGAAATTTCTCTCGGAGTCAAAAAAGTATCTATCTATTCCTCTATCAATCAATCTTTCTTTCTCTCTGTCTCCTCCCTCACTTCTTCCCTCCCTCACTCTCTCTCGCTCTCAATCAATCAATCAATCAATCACTCTATCTGTGTATCTATGTATGATAATGATGATTATTCCCACACACTATGAATGCAGCATCCCTGTGACGCACAGGTTGCTCAGACTTGACGTTCAGTGGAAATCTCAGAGAGCGTGTCATTGTTCCCTCCTGTGCTCAGTTATCTCATTTTAAATACACAGTTCAACTACTACACTTTGTATTTTAGCTAAAAATAAAAAGTAAATTCATCACACATACACTCGCAGTCATGGTTTCCTCACTTTCATTAAGAGAAGGCTATATTTGTGGCCCTTTATGATTTCTATTGACTTCAAACTTTGTTATGGCTTTAAAGTGTTTTCTTTTTGTGTATTACTTGACCCACAAGTTAGGAAGCCTCTTGTAGAAACCTGGTCAGATGCATATGGCACTCAAGGATGAATTATAAAATCGGCAGCTGCTTATCGACCCCATGATCCACAGATTCATTGAACTCACTGGGTTTTGGCAATTTTACAAATTACAAATGTGATTAGTTTTAAAGTTGATTATCAGGTGGGTTCAGCTTTAATAGATTATTATCTGCATTTTATCAAACTACATGTTTAAGACCTTTATTATTTGGGTGTATTTTGTCCTCATGTTGAGCACCTTCCTAAATATGCTGTTTTTAATCAAGTTATCAGAAATTAAGATGTTCCAGATATTGCTACAACACAGGTTGTTTGTTTGCATGATGTTTAATGGGAACCTGGATCCATTAAGGTTCATATTCATAGGACACCAGAACCTCTGGACACATAAAAAAAAAATGTTAACATTTTTCATATTTTTAGGTAGACTGAAATGATAATTATATATTAGAGACTTAAGGCATAACTGCTTCAAGGTAATCCTGTTTGCAAAGGAGAATAAAAACAACAACAATGAACTATCCCTTCAAAAGATTGGTGGGGTTTGATCATTGATTGCGGTACTATATAGTTTTGTAGTATTCCTTATGGATATACACACAATCATCATCATCACATTGGGTCTGGTGAACTAGCAACATATCGCACATAGGAAGTTAAAAGTTTATCCCATATTCTAAGAATACTTGTGTTTTAGCCTCCATGGGTAAGGAGTCTGTTAATGTGTTGTAATTACAACTAACAGCAAAGCATTTCAAGACACTAAAATGTATAGTACCCATATAACAGTATGTTTAACAACATTTTCACTAAAGGTGAGATGTTGTTTTTTCAAAAATATCCTATATGTAAACCACCTCAATTTTGTATATGTAAAATCATTACGATGCATTTTCACTAATACAAAATTAACTAAGACACAAGAGCCTTCAAAGCAAAAAACAAGGCGAGTTTATTTTACAGTGAAACAATGAATTTTATAGCAACAAGACCATTTAAATTTAAACAAATTAAAAAAACTGAACAAACTTCTTTTTGTATCCTTTAAAATGTCCTCTACTAATGTCTAATTATTACTAGGTGTGTTGTTGCCTTATTGATGTTATGAGCTGTATGTATTCAGTTTGCCTAAAAATATACTTTAGTACAAAAATCACAGGATCCAACATGAATGAACACACTAGTTTCCTCATGGTATCTAAAATATATATATATCCTCCTCAATAGACTGACAATCTTGAGAAAATATCACATTAGTAGAAGTAACTGGGGGGAATGGGTTTATGAAAACAGAACATTTAAACCTCAACATAATTTCTCCACTCATCCTTGTCCATTTCTACCAACGAAACTGTACAGGCAAGTAAGCAGCTGTGACATTCACAGCCCTATCCATGCAGACCCAACCAGCTGTGATGGGTTTGAGAAAAAAAAAAAGTGGACAGCTAAAAATGTACTCGGGTGGGGGAGGGGTGGAGGGACATCACGAAAACCCACTCAGTCGTCTATTTCTTCTTTTTCTTCTTCTTTGGAGGTCCTTGATCTGAGTCGCTGCTGCTTCCTGAGTCTGAGCTGTCTGAGGACGAAGAGGAGGAGGATGAGGGCGACGAGGAGGAGCTGTCATTGTCGCTGTCGCTGCTGCTGTCGCTGTCATCTGAAGAGGAGCTGGAGGAGTCGCTGCTGTCTGACGATGAGTCACTGGAGGATCCATCTGAACCACTGCTGCTGTCACTTGAGTCTTTAGTTCTGAGAGGTGAAGTGGCAGAGAGCACAGTGGACAAACACAGAGAACAGTTGTGAAGTCTCACTGCAGTGAGGGACATGCTACACAGGCTGTGGTGGCAGGATTTAGCAAAGGAGAGGACAAACTGCTTTCTTATAGACTAACTAGGCTTTCTTTGGATTTTTAGTACCTTAGTGTTAGAAAGGTTAGAAACACTAATCTACAAGGGTTTTTATGTTTATTTTGAAGTGACTGAAAAATTGGGCAAACTGGAAATCTCGACCAATTTATCAGTTGGTTGATGAAAATTGCCTTTCACAGACATGTTTATTTTGTTTATCCATTATTTAATCAGGAATATCCCATTGAGATACAATACCACTGGTTAAGATCGGCAATAAGTAAAAAAAGATTCAAATTAAATTACAAGAGGGAAAGTTCACCAATATGAACGTTTTTATTTTACATAATAGGAAATAAATAAGGTGTGCGTTTCTGTTTGTATTCTTTGTAGAAATGTATTTTCTATTCAATTTTATTATTTAAAACATATATATATATATATATAAAGCCGACATTGATATGATGGTATTGGAAAAAGTTCAATTGCTAATATTGGTATTTGCCCCTTAAAATATTCTTTGTCAAGCTCTACTGGAAACATTAAATGGACGTGTGCTGTTCCTTCTGAATGTGGTCATGTGACAGGAAGAGCAGTCAGATCAGGGCTTCGGTCTCATCTTGTGTGGAGAGAGAGCGACACATTTAGTCCTAAACATGACACATCCTGGATGTGATGTCGCCACAGTCACAGCCTCTCATGTCCTCTGACTGACGGCATCTGCTCCACCACCAACAGACAAGCACGGCTTACAACATAGCGGCCAATTCCACAATGAATAAATAGGTCTTGCATAAACTAAATTACTGATTTGGTCATGTTGATGATTTTTTTCTTGTTTGCATTTGATAGCCACCAAATTCAACAATCAACCTCTGATAGTAAGAGTCCGTGGTTTCCACGCTGAGGGGGTGGCTGCACACATGACCAGGGGGAAATTATGGATTTAGACGGCTTCAGCTGAATAGAGCTTTTTGTCATAGCAGGCATTTTGACTTGGCAAACACTGTGTAGCTAATAACATTATTAATGGCTGCATAGCACTGCCATAACTGCAGGAATAGAGCCATCATAAAGGTTATTAGTTCCACCTGTGAATCAGAGTCAAAAAATGTCTGCTGTGAGAAAAAGCCTTCACATCCGATTCCTTCAAGAATATAGAAGAAAATGATGAGTGAGGGGGGAGTTCAGTTGTGGCTTTTATATGGTAAATGTCGGCACGTAAACAGAACAGAACCATCGTTAAAAGTTACTACCTCCACCTGCACTTTACCAGCAGGAAAACATCGGTCGTGAAAAAGGTTTATCACCAACACATCAAATATTTAGATGTGATTAACAACAGTCACCTACTCGTCTGGGAATTTCAAACTTCATATAAAATCTAATGATAAACTAGCCCATGAGCATTTCAAATACACAGAAACTAATCAGAAATACAGCCACAGTACCAGTTTTTAAGCAGGCATTGAAATAACTTTTTAAGAAAGCATTGC